AGAGCCTGTGTTGCACAGGGACCTGACCTCAGATATTGCAACCACAGCTACATGCCTCAGGTTCCCTGTAAAAAATACTGGAGATCTTAGTGACTACAGGATGCTCTGAGAAAACTAAGACCATTTAAAGATACCAACTTCAAGAAATACCAAGTGTTCTGCAGTTAAGGGAAGTTAATTGAGGAAAATAAAGGAAAAAGTTGAGGTTACAAATCATAGTGTTTTGTTCTGATCAAGTTTCAAATTTTCAGCATCACACTTATCATACCACCAGACTATATTCTTCATATATATTATTATCATATTCCTCAGACGTGTTGCTTCTACACTGCTGGATACTATTATGAAGACACAGACAGGGAGAAAGGCCATGTTGCCTTTTTTTCTTTCACAGGTCACCATTGTACAATATAAATTACATTTAAAATAGCAAGAAATTACTTGTGAAATAATTTAAAATTTACAAATTATAAATGTACATATTTAACATTTTTAGCTTATAAGACCAACTCCTGAAGTAGAGCCATTTTCAAGTAAACATCAGAAAATTCCTTCTTGCCTTTTCTTTTTTTTTCCTACTTTACTTTTCACAACTGCATATGTGAAAAAGTATGTCAGAAAGAAAAGATGCTAAGGCATATATACCTATTAATGAGGAAATGGTTAGAAGCAAAACAACATGAAACCTAAATTATTTTGTTAAGTAAAAATTGTATTCTTCTATTATGAGAAAAATAGCCAAGAAGTTATTAAAAATCTACTTTAAATGACAACAGGCTCATTGCAAGATTAGGTAAAACTTAAAGAAATTCCTAACATGCAGATATTTTAACAGGTCATTAAAATATATAGGCAAAAGGTTTTTCAGATGGAATTTCTGCTCTAAAGTACTTTTACACCCTTTTGGGCTAAAGAATATATAGATTTACTATACAGATGGATAAAGTACATTTTATCCCCTTTGCCACATTTGCTGTTGCAACATCAGAAAAAGACAATGAATGCATTCGTCTCTGCTCCAATACAGAAAGTTTGATGAATGGTTTTGGAAACTGACTTTATGCAATAAACCTCATCTTTTGCTCAGAATTCAGCATTCTTATCCCCTCTAAGTCACTCTAATAGCAAACCAAATTTCCTTCTGTGCAAGTGTGCAAGGTAGTCAAAGAAGGAAAATGGTAAATCTCACAAGTGACATTCATGAGCTCCAAAGACGTGTCAAAATTATTACATGTATTTCATGATGCTAAAGACTGACCTTTCCCAGCTTTGCTTTCTCATTTTAACCAATAAATTTGACAGGAAGAAATGTAACTAAAGTCAAAGCTGTTTTAAAAGAAAAGATGCAAAATTTTCCAGACTCTTTCAATATTTGTTTTTCTTGATTGTTTCTCCTGTCATTTGTTTCTTTCCTAGGCCATATATGACTGTGTTTATCACTTTCGTTTTCTGGCTGTGATAACAAGATACCCATCATACAGGAACTTTTCAATCAGACAGGAGAAACAATAAAAAAAAAATCATCCAATACACACTAGGCTTCATATCTATAATCAAGTTAATGAACTTCATTAGTAATATTTACAAATGGAATTCTTATTTTTTATTTAGTTTTTTTTTTTATTTCTTGCTTACTCTAAGGAAAATTAAACATAACTAAACAGAAAGATGACTTTAGAGGAAGCAATCTTTATCAGTTCCCCAGGGTTCTCTGCAATTCATGTCTGCCTAGCATTTACTTCAGCTAAAAGACAGGGTTAACTGTGCCCAATTGGTATCAATCCTGATAATCTCTTCCTGTCCTGGAGAAATGCTCTTATCATCAAGAGCAACCCCAACAGAGAACAAGGATAAAGGACAGAAACTGTGCAATCCTACTGTCAGTTTAAATCTCTGATAGGGGTCAGTAAGTGAAAGGATAATATAGTGCTACCAGAGTGCTCTGTGCCTCCATTAGGATGTGATGGCAGCATGTTCCTCTCCTGACTAAACAAACTGTTAAATGGATTAAAATTCGTAAATAAAACTGCTGTAATTTTGTTACTAACTTACAGAAAGACATATGTGCATTGATTAGTTCCATCTAGGAACTGTGGAACAGTATCAACAGTTAAGTCCTGCTTATTTATTTGCATTTTATTTTAAAAATAATTACTGAGGCTTCTGTGAGAATATTATTTAAAAAAATTAAAAATTCTGCCATAATGGCTTAACTGGAATGAGACAGACATACCTGAAAAAATATTTTCAGAACTGGTTTTGAAGAGAAAAAAACCCAAAAAAACTTAACAAAAAAATTGATGTGAAAATTAAAATATTTGCAAGGTTTTTACACAATTTTGTAAATGAATATATAAAAGAACAAAAAATAAAAAAATCCTGATAACAATGTTGGTAACTACAATTAATATGCTGTGAAAATAAAGCTTGGAAAATATTATGGTAATCAAATCATCTATTTGATACCAACTTTGCAGAATCTCATAACAATTCCCCATTTTTACAATTTTGCTACGAAAATACAAATTAGCTGTTTAGTTTTTGAACCTGAGGTTTTGCTGAAATTCCCTAGCCTGCAACTTATGACATGCAATAACTGGAATAACAGATAACTCTGATACCTGGTTCAGGAAAGAATGTATTTGTAGTTGAGAAAAGGACTGTTAGCACTTATGACAACACAGCATTGGATGAAAATGGTGGTAATGGGGTCTGAATGATTCTTTGAAGAGGCTGTTTCATTACGGAAGTTTATGACACATACTAGACTGATGGGAGATGAGTCTGGAAAGAAGACATTTCTTCCCGGGGACAATATTTTAAAGAATAGAGGAAGTCTTCACCATTAGATAAGGGTTTCTTTGGCAAGACAAATAAGTTCTACTTGCAGTTCATATACCAGTGCAAAGTTATTTGCAAAGAAAGCAAAAAACTTCTATGACTCATTAATCAGAATATGAATGGAGACAGATCTATATTGTCACACCCCACGAATATTTGCTTTGCATTATAAAACTATATGACACATAAAGAATTTGAGGAAAGCTGTACTTCTGTTAGTCAAAAAAACACCTGTGCTGAAAAAAAAATGTCTAGTTTAAACCTCTCTATCACTGAAAATATTGAAAACTTAAAACTCCAGTTTTAGAAATGTCATAATACAATTCTTATGTTATATGTTAAAAATAATCATTACAACGGGTGATATATCTTACGATAGAATAATATTTCTATGCTCTTTATCAATTGTGTTTCCTCAGAAGATTTTTCAACTGAAGAAAATTTTATGCTGTATCAAAAACTGTGTCTACCAAGGCATAAATTCAGACTTTAAGTGATTCCATTTTCTCATACACTCTATTTGATTGTTCCCACGTATATTCAAAATTAATTGTGACACACCATAATGAGACTATGTTACTTTTAAATTCTTACCATCTGTTCTAAAACTTTCACTCTGAAAGGTGCCTTAGATTATAATAATGAATTGTATCAATGCAGAGATTTTGCCCTGCCTTGCAGTATGAATTCTGTGTTGTTAATAAATTCTTAAATTTCTATTGCCCATGTTTCATAAAATGTGGTGCAACATATCCCTCTCCTGAATTCAAAATGTATTAATATTTAGTTTTAAAGTATAGAGGCTATATAACCATAATCAAACAATATATTTCATATCACTATGTGTAGAGTAGGCAGGATTTTACAGAAAATTTACAGAAACTTCACTGAATTTGCAATTTTATCTAGACTTTTTTTTTCATTTATGAACAAATAAAATAAATAATGCACTCATTAAAGAAACCAATATAGTAAATTAATTATGTTCCCAGAATAATACTATGCAAAGTTCAAAATGCCTTCACATGACCATTTATGGAAGAGCAGCTATGTTCAAGTTATTGATAAATACTTCATTTATTTCTTAGGTCTTCTGGGTTGTCAAATGTCTCCATTCCTAACATCTAACCATTCTTTTGACCATTCTTCATTTTCCTTTCAGATTTATTTCTTATGTCACAATGCATTGCTTCCCTGCCAAAAAGATAGAGCACACAACTGGATACTCAAGTCACTTTCAGAACTCCTCAGGAGATCACTCAGTGGTCTGCAATCATTACTTATATTTCTGCACTACAGATCCTAGTTCAGCTTCCATCTTACCACTGGAAAGACTTTTTCTGTTTGGAGACTCAGTTCAAACTGTCTCACTCAATTTAAATTGGAAACAAAGAACAAATGCATCTATAAGCTCTCTAGAAAAAATAGAACACCAATGAAATATAAAAGGATTTATTTTGCTTCCTATCATTTTTTGATGACCTTTGCTCATGAATTTGAAGAACAGTTTGAAGAGCTGAATTTCCAATGAATTTTTATATATTTCAGATTTATATCCTCTGATTGGCTCCTCAAGCATCAGACTCTTCTAAGCAAAAATAATCTCCTTTTCTCTTGGATAAAATTCAAGAGCTTTGAATAGAGACAATCTCTAAAAGAGATTGTCACAAACATGATAACTTCAGATGGGGTTATAACAGGGGCTCTCTAGAGCCTTTTTAGGGATTAGTAAATCACAGAACTGGGGAAAAAAAACCCCTAAGACTTTGTTGAATTGTAGAAGGTTAAGCTCAAGTTTGAGCTGCTGATCAAATCAGTCCTTACCTTATCCCACTGAATAATTTTCATCCCCAGCAGCCTCTGCTAGCCCAAAGATTTGAAGTTATTAAGTTTGGCCTTCAGTTAGTGGCTAATAACACTGCAGTATGATTTCAGATGAAATCCTATCCTGCTTAAATCACTGACAAGGCTCTTGTCAATTTCAGAAAAGACAGGATTCCTCCACAGAATAATGAACTACAGAAGGTCATGCTTTCATCATTTATGCAAGTTTAAATATAAAATACCATGAAAAAAATGGCCTGCCATTAAGAATGTGCTATCTTTTAAAAAAAATTTTAAAACAAAGTTCAAAGAGAAAAGAAAACATTAGAACTTACATTCAATATCAAGGTACATGCTCTTTTGGTGCCCACCAATTCTACTTGCAGCTTCACAGTCATATCTCCCTGAATCTGACAACTTCACATCTTTAATATGCAGTGACGATTTTCCATGCTGCCCTTTGACTTCTATACGGCCATCTGGGCTCTGTTTACATTGATTCAGGAAAAAAAGAGGTTTTACACATATATATGTATGTATATCAATGTCTAATTTATATATTATACACCATTGACTAGAATGACTGAAAGCATCTCTTCACCTATGGTGAAGTTATTACTGACAGCTAAGAAACTTCTAAATTTTCCAAATAAATAAATAAAATAGAAAAGTATGTTCTGTTTCTCTAATCAAGGGAATAAGTACATGCTTAAAGGAACAGTGTCAAGGGAAAGCACAAAACATATAAACTATTGACTGCAATAGTGAGCTGCATACTCAAGAGTTCTTTGCAATCTCACTCACTATGCTGCTGCAGTCAAAATGCACACATGTAACATCATTATATCTTACAGTTAGCATTATATATATGGTCCTCAAAAATGCAGCTGTGAAACTGAACAGAAATAACCCTGCAGACAATGAACAAAACACAAAGCCAGTCACAGATTTATTTTCAATATCCACATATTTTAGTCAGAAACTCATAATTCTTAAGAAACTTGAACCATAAATGCAGCTGTAATTTCTGGGATTCGGTTCCATACCATTACATGGAAGAGGGCAAGGGAAAAAAAAGCAATGCTGGCTTCCAATTTTCTAGAACATAAATTTTATACTTAGCAACTTCATAAAAA